CGCCTAATTTATTCACCCTTAGGCATTACATTTTGCCTTGGACCTGATGTCAAGTCCCTTTCACAAGCTTCTTTTCATACTTACCTGAAAATTAAATTAAATATTAGCACGCAGGTATTTTTTTCCCCTTTCTTTCCCCTTAGACAGTGTGAGTTGTTGGCTGCTCAAGGCTACCAGTTATCTTCATCCTTGATTTAAAATGTGGTGCTATTGACATCCGTCGTGAACAAAAGGACAAAAACGGATAATGAAAGAAAGAAGAGAGTGAAAAAGGCAAGATAAGGTCGCACATTTAAAGTCCCCTCTTCTCGCAGTCAAAAATCTTCTTGCTTGTTCGCTACCTGTTGGAATGTTTGATCTTTACTGTAGCCGAATGATGTATTCGCGGAATTTGACGATGGCAAATCCTGCTCCCAGTATGCATATTTATATAAGTCTGATAAAGTAAAAAAAAGTAAGTTCAAGTAAAAACTTGAAGGCTGCCGCAGTGCACAGGACAATGAGAATGGACTTTACGTGAAGTCCAGAAAGAAAACTGTTAGAAACTTACACATTTTTGCAATTCATAGATTCTGGATGTTAGCTCCCAGGTAGAAGGAGGAGAATGACATTTTAAGGATTTTGAGGAAATTGTAGCTTTTTTGGTAGAAAAGAGACAATCAGACACACATTATGTTCCAAAGCAGACTATTTTTTATATATGTCTTATTAAATGTCTGGAGGGGATCTTTGAATTGTGCTTAGTATAGTGCTTAAAGGTTGGTACACTTACCCTCGGTTGGTGACAATGGCTTTCTTCAAGTGAATGTAGCTGGCTGGGAAAACTCCCTGGAGAGACAGAGACAGAAAAAAGGTTAAGATAGACGATAAAAATGGCTATACTAATCTATGGCTATATTAATGAGGAGACACTGTATGTAGCCACGTGCACCACAAGCAAATTAAAATAAGGCAGCCAGTAAATCTTCAGGAGCCGGAGTGCTGGTACCTCATCCTTTCTTCTTATAGCACAACATCATTAAAATAAGTTATATAACATTTCCACCTTGGTTGATTGTTTTTAAAAGAAAAAAAACTGTCTCAGTTTGTTCACAAATTTACACAAAATGCCATGTTAACATTGTATCTGTATTATATGCTTTCTAACATTGAAACCTACAGAAAACACTGCTGACTGGTCACTAAATTCAGTGTTGATCTCAAAGGAGTAATATTCTGGGAAATACTGCACCTCATTCAGACATAGCGTATGTCTTATATACTTCCCATAATGCACTGTATATTAGAAAGAGTGTGAGCACTCAATTCTTTCTGCCTTTTCTCCTGATGCTAGTACAACACAGACCTGCATAAGTGACAGAAAACAGATGAATGTCTATACACACTGTCGTGGCAATCCATCCAACATTCAAAAGTGGACGACTAACTGACTGAAGAACCTCACCTTCCTTAGAGCCTTGCCACTAGAATGGCTAAAAGGGTTAGTAAAGCTTATTTTACGAATATTTAATTTAATGTAAAGCAACCCTCCACTACTCCCCAACTGGTAACACAGACAGACAGAACAAGCTAAAGACATGCAGAGTGAAGACCTGTTCAGCACTTGCTACAAAACATGCACTGTGTCTCAGAGGTGCACTGTTCAATAATTAATGTAAAAGGTACTGTGAAGGTTATAATGGAAGCTGCTAGCATGCTAGGCGGGTTGCTTCATTTGTTTTAATATGACTGCAGCGCTTAATAGAAACTCTCACGCTGCAGATGCAGTAGATACACAGAATCACAACACAGATGTTGGTGCCTCGTTTCAGTGCCAGAGCTGTCTACTGAAAAAGTTGCTCTCTGGTGCGGATACTGCAGGCAACAGTAAACATTACGTCACCCTGGTAGCTCACCTACTACCACCAGGATCGTTGAATCATTCAGTATGA